GTGTCAGAGATACGGGGATTTAGCAGGCGTGTGTGTGTGTAGTATCTGTGCTTATCTTGATTGTTACAGCAGCGCACGCGTACACAGGGCGCCCTTTTAGGATCAAGGGTATTAAAGCATCCTTATCATCGATCCCCGCCCGCCTGGGCGGACTCTCATGGTAAGCGGAGCGTGACAGCTCCGGGACCTGCGCATCATAGGCCGCTGGGCTGGGCCGCCGCGCCCGGGCGCCCCGCGGCAGGCGACGGCCGCAGCCGCCGCCAGAGGTCGCCGCACCTCCTCTCCGCCGCCGCGGTCACCACCGCGGCAGTCGTGTCAGCCCACGACGACGAGCCCTCCGCCGAGCCGGCCGAGGGCACCATCCTGTGCAACAACGCTGCTGCTGCTGATCATTCCCATCCTCACGAAGAAGATGTCCATCGAGCTGGACAGGAATGGAGTCCTTCAGTATGCAGGCCAGCCAGAGTATTTCAATGAATACGAAGAGCGAGCCTGGGATCTCTATCGTGGCAGGACTGGCGAGAGGTGTAAGCAGGCCGCAACGGCGCTGCATCTACGATCAGGCCTTTCTGGTCCAGCCTACGAGGCAGTGCGCAAGCTCAAACATGAAGAGCTGATAGCTACTGATGAGTCTGGAGAATCAAGGCCGGACGGGCTCACTCTTTTCCTCACGACGTTGAAGAAATAAGTTCAAGATATTGCGCCCGTCCGGAGCACCGAGATCTTCGACAAGGCTTTGTACGGATCATCGGTCTGGCGCGACCGCAACGAATCCATGGCCAACTATGTAACAAGGAGGCGAAAGGAGTTCGCAGAGTTGCAGGAGGTCAGCGCCACGACTACGATCTCAGAGGACATCCAGGCCGCACTGATCCTCAGATTCTGCGGCATCAGCATGAAGGAGCAAGCCGCAGTCCTCGCCTCCAACAAGAACGAGTACAAGCTAGCCGGCATCGAGTATGCTCTGCGGGCTCAGTACCCAGCGGTACATCGACAGCAGGACCGACGCGCTGATCGCCGAGAGCGATCCGCCTACGCTTACGCCGCGTCGGAGCAGGACGAGAACCAGTCAGAGCTCGATCACATCTATTACGAGGACGAGGACGAGGACGGCTACTACCAGGGCGAGGAGGACGACTACGAGCACGGCGAGGACGACGAGTTCGACATCGAGAACTACGTCGCGGAGAACCTCGACGAGCTTGGCACCGAGGAGGCAGAGGCCCTCGTTCTGCAGAGCCGAAACAAGATCTTCAACAAGAAGAAGCCGCCTAGGCGAGTGACTTCGAGCTTCCACGGTCGTGGTAAGGCCGGTGGAAGGGGGGGCCGTCGGGGAGGCGGCAAGGGATTGACAACCAGGTCGCCCGCAGGGCGAGGAGGCAGCAGCAGTTCGAGTAGTGCTGTCCCTGGCTACGACGACCGGCAGCGAGATGCTCGCCGGCAGCACGTCGCCAACTTGAAGAAGCGGACCCAGTGCTCCGACTGCCACCAGTTCGGGCATTGGCAGGGCGATGATGTTTGCCCCCGTCGGTCGAGCCGGAAGCCTACATCAGTGTCTCCAGCAAAGAAGCCCGCTCAGAACTACTTCGCGCTCGAGGAGCACGGGGACAACGACGACGACAGCGAGCCGTCCGAGGTCTTCATGGTTCTGAAGGGCGAGATGGAGCACGTCTGCGAGCACGTGGCCGACGACGCCTGCGAGAAGGTCGTCCGCGGCGCCAACAAGACCACCAGGTGCATCACATGCAGGGAGTGCGACCGCCATTTCACGCTCGCCCACCGCAACAAAGGGTTCGAGCTGTGGAGCTACTTCATGAAGGCCCTGATGGGCACGAAGTGGGGCCGCTTCCTGTCCCGCAAGGAGTTCGCGAGGCGGATTGCCCTGGTGGCCGACGCACTGATGGTCCAGGGTCGCCTCCCATCTACGTATCGGAGACGGACGGCGGCGCCCGCAGCGCGACGCCTTTCCGGCAAGCAGCGGCCATTTGGCCGGCTGCCTGCAAGAGGCGACGGACCACGTGCACCTACACTGGCGGCCGCATCTGCGGCCAGTTCTGCGAGGCCGAGTGCTACTGGATCAGCGCCGGCCGCGCCACCTACACCCGAGAAGCGCATCATCAATGTCGACTTAACCCAAGGCGACCCCGAGCCGAAGCCGGGACCGGAGCTGGCCTTCCTGTACGGCATCCCGCTTCACCACAGCATCGAGCTGGTGGAGTTCCCGGATCTCGACGGCGTCGACCAGCTCAACACGGTCCCGTACCCAGCGGAGGTCATCAACTTCGGCACGCACAAGGGGCGAACCTTCCAGGATGCGGCGTCCGACCCGGCACTCATCTGGTACAACAAGTGGGCTCTGGACCAGGTCTTGGGCCCCGAGGCGGAGGAGATCAACCTCCACTTGCACCGCTACGCGTATTTCCTCTACGCCATTGTGAAGATCGCGCGTGGCAAGTTCAACGTTGCCCCGCAGCAGCAGCAGATGATCGACGGCGACAAGAGGAGGCTCCCCGCCGACAACGATTGGATGGAGGTCAACGCCGGCGGCTTCACCATCCCGATTCAGCCCAACATCCATCAGCCGGATCATCTCTACCTACGAGTGCTCGGTCATGGCCGCCACTACCGGCAATGCCTTCTCGGCACACGACAACGATGCCGACGCCATGCTCGCCATCATCGGCACTGGGTGCACGCGCATCATGCACGGTGAGTCGTGGCGGGCAGCCTTCGAGCGCAAGCTCGCGAGGCGCGGTCTACAGGTAGTGAAGACCCCGACCTCTCGTACATTCAGAGGGATCGGCGGCCGCGCGAGGAGCACCACGGCGGTCCGTTTTCCCGTGGGCATTGGAGGAAAGTGTGGCGAGATTCTGTCGTGTGAGGTGCCGGGCGACTGCCCGATGCTGCTCAGCAGGGACATGCTCACCAAGCTTGGGCTGAGCATGCGGCTTTCCACGGAGGGCGACGTCGCCGACTTTGTCAACATTGGCGTCTACAACCTGAAGCTCCACTACACTAAGGTGGGCCACCCGGCGGTCAACCTCCTTGACCTGCCGGACGAGAGTTACGAGACGGCCGAGTGGGCGGCGCTGACGATGCCCGAGGATCACCACCTCGAGTACTACCCCGAGAAGTTCCACGTCGGCATCACCTACGTCGAGGAGAGCTCAGTTGAGCCTCTCCCCAGCTTCCTGGACATCGAGATCGGCGAGACTACGGGCGACGAGTGCCTCCAGACGGTCGTCGACCACGACTACGGACCGGACGTCTTCGCCGCCGAGGCGATCGAGTGGGGCGGCAAGCGCAACCTCACCAACAAGAAGTCCAAGAAGGTCGAGCATTCCCTGCAGGCCATTGCCGTGCAGGATGAGGTGGTGCAGGCCGTCGTGGAGAAGCATCCGCCCAGGGCCCGGCTGCCTGCAGGTGCCAGGACATGGGTCAAGCAGACCTACGCTGGCCAGATGGGTTTGACAGTGCTCATGGCCGCGATGGGCCTCTCGGTCGGCGTCCCACTGGACAAGCACACGGGCTGGGACGCTACCACCAGGCTGGGCAGGCAGAGGTACGACGCGGAGATCACCAACGAGGAGCCGTGCTGCCTCGTGGTCTCGCACCCCTGCTCGCCGTGGGGCAACTGGAGCAGATTCAACATGGCCCGTTGCCCGGGGACCGAGAGGAAGATCTTGGCCAAGCGCGAGGCGAACCGCCCCATTCTCAGGCAGGTGGACTCCTCAGTGGACAGCCGAGTGCGGAGGGGCTTCCACGTGGCGCTGGAGCACCCCCAGGGCTCCGAGGCCTTCGACCAGCCGGAGATGTCAAGGATTCGTTCTCTCCTGGACAAGGGCATCCTGAGGAAGGTTACCTTCGACGGGTGCCAGGTTGGGCACCGCGACGCCGAGTCAGGCTTGGCTCACCGCAAGCCCATGATGATCATTACCACTATGGACACGCTGGTCGAGGCCCTTTCCGACAAGAAGTGTAGCTGCACCCAGCGCGAGCAGCTAAAGGGCCGCAACAAGTTCGGGCCGCGCACCCTGCAAGCGGCCGAGTGGCCGGAGGAGCTCAACCACATCGTCGCCCGCAGCATCGCACAGCAGGCCATCGTTGACAACGCCACGGACACGGACTGGCAGTTCCCTGCAGAGGACGGTCCAGACCTCCGTGGGCAAGTTCGACTACGACGACGGACGAGACTGCGGGGACACCCGTACTGGGCAGCCATGGCGCAGCCAGCGCCACCGCCTGACCCGAACGTGCCTGAGCCTGCTCCTCCTCCAGCTGATCAAGAAGCTGTGGGGGAGCCACCACCTCCGCCCGCCGTCGACCCCGACGGCGAGCGAGCCCGAGAGGCCGCTCAGCTCGGCCCCATCACCAACACCAAGGAGGCCGAGCGGCGCAGGCGATGGCTGGAGGCCCCGCCAGAGGTCAGGAAGGCCATCCGCCAGCTCCACGTCAAACGTGACGCTGACCAGGCTGTTGAGGCGCCGAGGAGTCAAGCCGGAGGTGCTGAAATACGTGGAGTTCTTTTCCTGCGACGCCTGTGGCGACGCCGTCCGTCGGCGCGCCCCACGACCTTCGCGGTTGCCAGGTCAGTACGTGTTCAACTACACCATCCAGCTGGACACCTTCCACGCCTACGACGCCGCCGGGACCCCCTACTTCTTTATGAACTGTATCTGCGAGGGAACGAACTTTCAAGTCGTGAACTGCATGGGCCCGGCTCGTGGATCACCGACAGCACGTGCCACCAGCAAGGCGTTCACTACCAGCTGGACCCCGTGGGCTGGCTACCCAGAGAAGCTCATGGTGGACCTGGGCAAGGAGTGGATGAAGGATTTCGCCTCCAACGCGAAGGCGCATGGCGTGCAGGTCGACCTGGCCCCGTTGGAGACGCCGCACCTCATCGGCAAGTGCGAGCGCCACGGGGGCATTTGGAAGGAGATCTGGCGACGGACTGTCGCCGACTCGCAGGTCACAGGACTGGACGACGTCGAGGAGACTGCCTCCATCGTGACCCAGGTCAAGAACGAGCTGGGCCGACGCGGGGGGTTCTCCCCTTCGCAGTGGGTCTTGGGGTCTCATGGGCCCCGTGTCCCAGGAAGCCTCCTACAAGACGACGAGGCGCAGCGGTTGGTGGTCATCGAGGCGTCGCTCGACCCCCAGTCTGCCATGGCACGCGCCATGGCCCTGCGCGAGGCGGCCCGCATCGCGCACGTCCGCCTCGACTCCGACGACCGCGTCAAGCGCGCCATCCTGCGCAAGGCGCGGCCTAGCCGAGGCCCTTTCAACATTGGGGCCATCGTGTACTTCCGCCGGTCGCAGACCCGAGTCGGCGAGAGCCCCGAGGTCACGCACCGCTGGTTTGGGCCAGCCCGGGTTATCGGGCATCAGGTGCGCGACCCACGTCACCTCTCTCGCGACACGGACGAGCCCGTCGGCACACTGGCCCATGCAGTGTGGCTGCGCTACGGACACACCACCGTGCTCGCAGCTCCTGAGTCGCTCAGGTTCGCCTCCGAGGACGAGCTGCTCGCCATGCACACCTACGTGAACCCAGACCTGTTGTCCCTTCGGTCACTGAAGGGGGCCAGGCACTACATCGACATCCGGGCCGATGCAGCAGCAGCCTCGCCCGCCCCGATGCCCAGGCCGCAACAGCGCGCGGCTGGTCACGGAGGGGTGGTTGGGGGCGCGCTCGGATCTGCCGGGCCAGGACCTGACGTAAATTTCGATTTCGACGAGTTCAACACCGAGGACCATCTACCACAGCAGCGGGTCGATCCTCCACCGCCGGCACACGAAGTACCACAACAAGCATCTCCAATCATTCAGGAGACCGACGACGCACTACTACCACCGCCAGCTCAGCATCAGCCACCTCCTGTGGTCCCTGAGCCGCCACGCCCGGGGCTACCAGACGCAGAGGGGCCGCCACGCTCGTGCGGCCCAGGCGAGCCCAGCATTCATTCCGAAGTTCAAGGTCATCGGATCGATCCTCGAGTATCCCAGGAGGCCATCGACAAGCCGGTGCCCCAGGATGACGAGGCTGTCGACAAGCCGGTGCCGGACGACGAGATGGGCGTGGGCCTGGAGCGCGAGGAGAAGCGCAGAGGCTTGTCACTTACCCAGCTGGACAGAGCCATGCGCGATCCGGAGCGTCTGGATCGGGGTTCCATCAAGAAGCCTCGTACCTTCCAGGGCTACGTGGAGGAGGAGCTCAGCGTCATGGAGGATGCCCTCCACGAAGTGTTCCTCACCAGCGACTATAAGCCGGACCTGGCTGTCGCCTACGAGTGGCGTCGCACCGACTACGGACAAGCGTGGCCCTCGCTGGTCCAAGGTGCTTCGCCGCATCGCCAGAGACATCAAGACAGGCATCGTGATCGATGACATCGACGTCAGAGGTCTTGCTCTTCGCGATGCTCGCCTTCGTCGGCCTCTGCCTGGTGGCACCACCGCGGCCGAGACCATCTTCGTTCACGCCGACGAGGACGTGGGCACGAACGACACAGTCGAGTTCGCCTATCTCACCAAGGGCGCGGTCCGCTCCGAGATCAGACTTCAAGACCTCGCCCCAGAGCAGAGGAAGGAGTTCGATCAGGCTATGGCCAAGGAGTGGCGCAGCTGGACTGAGTTCCAGGCCGTCGAGGTGCTGAGCTTTAGCCAGGCCAAGGAGCTCCTCGACAGGGGTGCCTCCCCAGTTGGGACGCGCTGGGTCCACACGGACAAGAACGCTAAGAAGCGCAACCTCAAGCAGACCTACGACGACATCCCGCTCGCTGCCAAGAGTCGGCTCGTCGTGCAGGGCTGCCAGGAACGAGGGGGTGATATCCGAGGCGACGCTCCTACTGCTAGCCTTTTGGCTTTCCACCTGGTCGCCAGCTACGCTGCCTCCCACCGGTGGCAAATAAGGGCAGCTGACGCTGCGACGGCCTACCTGCAGTCCAAGGGCATTGAGCGCATCCTGTTTCTTCGAGCCCCTCGTCCTCCACCACCTGAAGTTCCGGAGGGGTCCTACATGCGCGCCCGCGGCGCAATCTACGGCACCAAGGACGCGGGCAGGCAGTGGTGGCTGCATCTGCGCGCCATCCTCGTGGGGCATGGTTGGCGCGAGTCCATTTACGAGCCCTGTCTGTTCATGCTCAGGGACAGCAAGGGCAAGCTCAACGGCTTGCCGTGCACGCACGTCGACGACCTCTTCGCCACGGGCGCGGGCGAGCAGTTCGAGCGCGTGATGGAGATCATCAAGGACAAGATTCGCCTTCCCTTCCAGTCCGACACGTTCAGGCACTGCGGCAAGGTCGTGGAGCAGGACAACCAGACTTTCGACATCAAGATCGGACAGGCCGCTACGGTCGAGGCGCTGGAGTACATCACCCTCGAGCCGCACCGCCGGCGCAAGCCCAATGCGCCACTCACCCCGGAGGAGATCTCTGCCCTCAGTAGCGGCGTTGGGTCGCTTGGCTGGGTAGCACGGCAGACGTTCCCCGACCTGGCCGTCCACGCCTCACTTGGGGCTCAGGCCATGAGTGGCCCCAAGATCCGTGACACTGTTGCAGTGTATCGCGCCGCCAAGATGGCTAAGGACGACGTTGATTTCAAGCTGATGTTCTCATCCCGCCTGGACTGGGACAGTGCCATCGTGTTCGGCTGCGGGGACAGCAGCCATGGCAACATTGACGACCTTACGCTAGGAGAGAAGGTTAAATCCCAGTGCGGCTATATCATCGGCATGGCGTCGCCCGACCTCGAGACGGACGCCACCGCGATCATACATCCACTGGAATGGGCTAGCGCGACGATCGAGCGAGTGGTTCGTGGATCGCTAGCGGCTGAATGCAACGGTTTCTTGACGACGGCCGAGAGTGCGGAGTTCCTCAAGCGCGTGATCGCCGAGATCTCCGACCCCGGCTACTCATCCTACCAGTTCGACCCGTTCTTCGACGGCAAGCATCTGCTGCTGCTGACGAACGCGAACGGCCTCGTCACCTCTTTGGAGAAGGGCGGTGGCCAGCCCGCTGACAAGCGAGTGCGGATCCTGATGGCTCAGATCCGCCAGCTACTCGGCCATGACGTGCTGAAGCAGGAGCGAGAGGGAGATGACTGGAGGATACGTGTCAGGTGGATCGACACGAAGCTGATGATCGCGGACTCTTTGACGAAGGCCGAGGCTGAGAGGAGTTTCTTGCTAGAGCGGCTGTCTGAGGGCCGCTGGTGTTTAGCGCAGACGAAGGAGATGCTCGCTGCTAAGGCAGCGGCAGGCGAGGCGCGCCGAGCCCGCAAGGCCGGGCCTGGCGATGCGGAGGGGTAGTCCTCCGATTTTCGTTTCCCTCCTTCTCCTCCTCTGCCTCCTCTCCCTAGTACCGTTTGGTTTGCATCCATATCGTTTATGCCCTGTGGTTTTATAGTTCCATATTTGCACGCCTGTTTAGGCACCGCTTTGCCGATGTTCTGGGATCTCCCCTCTTGAAGGGCAGTGGATTTCATTATATCATTTGTTTTCTCATCTGTCTAATGAAGCTTAGCCCCCGCACTGTTTTTGGGGTCCGGACAAAGGTCCGCCACTTTTTGTCTCCGATTCCCCCGTCTTCCAAGATTGTGCCCGACGAGGACAAGCCTCAATGGTCACGGAGGAATGTCAGAGATACGGGGATTTAGCAGGCGTGTATGTGTAGTATCTGTGCTTATCTTGATTGTTACAGCAGCGCGCGCGTACACAGGGCGCCCTTTTAGGATCAAGGGTATTAAAGCATCCTTATCATCGATCCCCGCCCGCCTGGGCGGACTCTCACAACGCGAATATCATAGCCATCATCATCACCATCATCAACACGTCATCTCCGTCATCGCCATCATCATCATCACCACCATCATCATCATCATCACCAGTATGTTCAACAACGCCATCAGCATTTACAGCATGCCGCTAGGACCATTGTCGTCACGAGTGGTATAGTTTGTGTCGCACTATATCAGAATCGCGAATGGTACATCAACTCATCGAAATTGTTATACGTTGTACGTGGTGATCGCGCACGCACGCACGCACGCACGCACGCACGCACGCATGCATGTATGTATGTATGTATGTATGTATGTATGTATGTATGTATGTATATATGTATGTATGTGTATATGTGTGTACGTAGCACCCCGCAGATGCGGATAAGAGTGAGGTGGCGGCGGGCCCATCGGCTGCCTGCGAGACCCTTTCGTTAACCCAATGTGGGTAGGTCCCTGGTGGGTCGCAAATGGGTCGTGGCTGGGTCGCGGGTGGGTCGCGGGTGGGTCGTTGTTGGGTCGCGGATGGGTCGCGGCTGGGTCGGGGCTGGGTCGCGGGGTGGGTCGCGGGTGGGTTGCGGGTGGGTCGCGGGTGCGTCGCGGGTTGTGTCGCGGGTGCGTCGCGGGGTGGATCGCGGGTGGGTCGCGGGTGGGTCTCGGTTGTGTCGCGGGGTGGGTCGCGGGTGGGTCGCGGGTTGGGTTCGCGGGTGGGTTGCGGGGTGGGTCGCGGGGCGGGTCGCGGGGCGGGTCGCGGGCGGGTCGCGGTTGGGTGGGACGACACACAAATAACAACAACGCAACAAACATGATCCCCACCACGGATCCCCACCTTAGCCGCGCACCCAGGAACAATTATATACCGTTCGGTCCCCTCTTTCTGAGTGGGTCGCGGGTGGGTCGCGGATGGGTCGTGGGCGGGTCGCGGGTGAGTCGTGGGGTGGGTCGCGGGTGGGTCGCGAGGGGGTCGCGGGTGGGTCGCGGGGTGGGTCGCGGGTGGGTCACGGGTGGGTCGTGGATGGGTCGCGGGGTGGGTCGCAGGTTGGGTCGCGGAGTGGTTCGCGGGGCGGGTCGCGGGTGGGCCGCGGGTGGGACGACGATAAACAGCAACAACAACATCAGCAACAACAACAACAATACCGTCAACAGCAACGCAACACGCAGAACCTTCACCACAGATCCCCACTTCAACCACGCACCCAGGGACAATGAATGACCGTTCGGCCCCCTCACTCTTATTTATCTATATATATATATACTAGAACCACGCGCGCGCTTCGCGCGCGCTTATGTTCTGTCGAGTCACAGGCCCAGGAATCGTTGTGAGAAAACATTGGGGACGCGAAGTCGAAGCCAATCTGGCGCCAATCTGGCGGCCCCTATCGGGCAAAAGTTGGCAATCTGGCGGAAAGCCAGCGAGGTAACAGACTGGCGAGCAAGCAGAAATCTCCAACCTGGCCACGCCAGAGTGGCCCTGGACCGCAAGGCAATCTGTTAGTCTGGCCTTCGGCTACCCAGGAGAAGGGCGAGACGCTGAAATCTTGGGACCCGAAGTCGAAGCCAATCTGGCGGCCCCAATCTGGCAAAAATTGGCAATCTGGCGGGGAGCCAGCGAAGTTACAGACTGGCGAGCAAGGAAAAACCTCCAACCTGGCCAAGCCAGAGTGGCCCCTGGAACTCAAGGCAATCTGTCAGTCTGGCCTTCGATTGTTCAGGAGCAGAGCGAGACACTGAAATCTTGGGACGCGAAGTCGAAGCCAATCTGGCGCCAATCTGGCGGCCCAATTCTGGCAAAAGTTGGCAATCTGGCGAGGGAGGCGGCGAGGTTACAGACTGGCGAGCAAGGGAAAACCTCCAACCTGGCCACGCCAGAATGGCCCCTGGAACCCAAGGCAATATGTCAGTCTGGCCTTCGACTGTCGAGGAGAAGGGCGAGACACTGGAAACGCAAAGTCGTCTCAAAATCGACCCCGGGACTCCGAACGCTCCAACGTTTCGGGCTGCGCCCAGCCGCTGCGACGAGGGGCCCTAGACCAAGGTGCCCCCAGGACTCCCCGGGAAGCTTCGGCGGCGTCCACAGCACCCCTCCTCCTCCTTCTCCTGCTCCTCCTCTTCCTCCTCCTCCCTCTCCTCCTCCTCCTCCTCCTCCTCCTCCTCCTCCTCCTCCTCCTCCTCCTCCTCCTCCTCCTCGTTTTCCTCCTCATCCTCGTCCTTTCCCGAGCCATACAATAACAACTTGCGTGGAATCCCTCTCGGGCCCATCTTGGGGCTCTCTTGGGCCGCTTGTGGAGCCTCTTGTGATTTTGTGGGGGGCCTCGTCCCGTCGCTCGCTGGGAGTTTGACGTAGCTTCCCGGGAGCCTCTGAACCTGTCGGGGGCCTCCTGGAAGCAGGTTCGAAGCATTTTGGGGGCCGATTTGGGGCTTCTCGGGGCCTCCTTTGGGCCTCTTGGGGGTCTCCTGGGGCCTCTTGAGGGGCCTCCTTGGGGCCTCCTGGCGGCCTCTTGGGGCGGAAGGCTCGAGCTTGCGGTTCGTGGTCCCCCTCTGGGCCCCCTCTTGGGCCCGTCTTGGGGCCCTCTTGGGCCATCTTGGGCGCCTCTTGGGCCGTCTTGGGGCCCTCTTGGGCTGTCCTGGGGCCCTCTTGGAAGCTTCTTGGGCCGTCTTGGGGCGGTCTTGGGCGCCTCTTGGGCCGTCCTGTAACGTCGGAAAGCCCAAAAGGCGACTTTGTGAAAAACGTACGTTTTACGAAGGGAATGGGTCAATTTTTGCGTCTAGGGGCCCTCTTGGGACGCATGTTGGAGGCTTCTTGGGGCGTCTTGGGGGCGTCCTTGGACGTCTGGGGTCTCCTGGGGCCTCTTGAGGGGCCTCCTGGGGGCCTCCTGGCGGCCTCTTGGGGCGGAAGGCTCGAGCTTGCGGTTCGTGGTCCCCCTCTGGGCCCCCTCTTGGGCCCGTCTTGGGGCCCTCTTGGGCCATCTTGGGCGCCTCTTGGGCCGTCTTGGGGCCCTCTTGGGCTGTCCTGGGGCCCTCTTGGAAGCTTCTTGGGCCGTCTTGGGGCGGTCTTGGGCGCCTCTTGGGCCGTCCTGTAACGTCGGAAAGCCCAAAAGGCGACTTTGTTGAAAATGTACGTTTTACGAAA